AGCCATATTCCTAAATTGAGGGGTATTGGGCTCTCTGGGTGTGACTTGCGAGTGTGCGAGGAGGGACCGCCCGATGCAAACGCGCCGCAGCAGGCGCAAAGCAAAGGCGAAGACGAGGAGTCATGCCCTGGGTCCATGTACTTCTGTTGATCATTGTATAAATCCTGCATTACCTTAAGGACCCTGAACTATGGGAATTATGGTATATTCCTTATTATGGGTAATGCAGGATTTATATCATCAACCGTTATATGGGAGTTTCCGAAAATTGGGCTACCTCTTTTGGGGGTCCTTATTGATAAGGATCCTACTATTTAGGATACCACAGGGTCCCCTATTTTCGGAAACTCCCACATGTTTCAACCTCACCTGAACCCCAAAAGTATGTAGAATAACGGCCTTCTAGAGGTGTTGGGCCATTCTTCTGCCTACCTTTTGGGCGGCAGGCAAACACTAATGAAGCCTTCCTAGTGATCAACAACCAAAAAGCTGTTAGACGTTTATAGGGTTGTTATGGCCAATACGAGGGAGGCAGATCCGACTATTCTGTAGGGTTGGGCACCCCGTGATTTCGGGAAGGGTTTGCAGCACATGGGATGCAGAGGTTCGTGGTTAATGTTGAATTGCACTACATGAAGCGGATTGCAGGCCGCTTGAGCAAGGAACTACGAGAAGTCAGGAAAAACACCCTGAAACCTACTTGAACGAACCCCAAACTCCTAAACCCTAAACCCTATAGAACATATGTCGGGCGCTGTGGCAACAAGCCAGGGAGCCAAGCCAGAGCTTTCTCCATAAAGCTTGAGGTCCTGATCCTCCCAGCCGAACAACTCATATGGAGCTCTATAAACACCTAAACCCTGAACATCCCTGAACCTTCATTAACTCAAACCAACACCCAATCTGAAGCTCTAAACCCCTAAACCCTGAACCTCCAATAACTCAAACCAACACCCAATCTGAAGCTCTAAACCCCTAAACCCTGAACCTCCAATAACTCAAACCAACACCAAATCTGAAGCTCTAAACCCCTAAACTGCACTAAGCCCTGAACCGTAACCCCAAGCACTTCAAATCCCAAACCCCTAAATCCCTATAGCCCTGAACCCAAGAAGCTCCTTCAAGCGTCTGCAGGACATGCCACCGGCCGTTCCCACAGCGCCGGTCGATGACAAGAAAGGCGGCGACACCGAGGAGCGCCGTTTGCCTTCGTCGTGTCGTGGCTTTCGGCGCCGGATAATCGACATGCTCGTGCAAACGATGCACAAAAGAGCTCACAGCATACTCAGCACAGGAGATTTCATTACCAACAACAGTGAAGTGATAACATCATAGACTATGGCAATGCCAATCACACTCATCATCGCAACCACCACAGGTCATCATCAGTGCTGCCATGTCGATCATCGACTCAACTTTGTCTTCCTCATCATTCTTTAACGGCATCAGCAACACCAACAGGGCTGACACATTCATTGTGGCCATAGGCCGTAGGGCCAGTAGGGAGTCACGACTTATGATTACATGTTCGTCACCATCATCAGCCACAGCATCATGATCATGATGATCATCATCATCGTCATCATCATCATCAACATCATCATCTTCATCATCATCTTCATCTTCAGCAACATTGTCATCGCCATCGTCGTCGCCATCACCATCACCATCATCTACGCCTTCATCACCGCAGGCACACCATCCGTCTCTATGGTCCAGAAAAGCACCACACGATGTAGGGCTGGCAGGATAGTTGGAATCCTACAACCCCAAATTCCACTCCCCTTCCTTCGTAAACGTTCAAAGCATCGAAACCCCATCAGCTTGAAGTCGTGGACAGTTCATGCCCCATTGTTTGCACACCCCACTGTTGCTCTCACCTTTGTCTACACAGCCTGTGAAAAAAGTTTCCTTGCCTTACATGCTGCTCTCGGTGATGACTCGATATAGATGACCTATGTTTCTTGCGCACGAAGCATTCCCAGGCCCCAAGCTATGACAGGTGCCGTTGAGACTGCGGATTCAAGGGTCCAGGGGATCGGTGGGACTCCAGCTGTGCATCACTGATAAGGCATTGGTTTACGCTCGTTTGTTTGTTTGTCAGCCCTGTTTTCTAATCACTTTTCTAAATTTTCCGTGTACCAGGAGGCCCAAACGTCACACGAACAGATCGATCTGAAGATGTAAGGGTTTCTGAACCTCCCCCAGTCGCAGCGTTTACACCCGAAATGTAGGATCCTGATGGTATAATGGTTTGCCCCCCCCGATGCCAGGAGAAGCCAGCAGACAAGTCTGCGGCACCCGTCGCCGAAAGCAACAGCAAAGACGAGGAGCCGTGGTGCGTGAAAAGGGGGTTTTCCGTTTGGAGTGTAGCTTCGTTTAAGGTTATACACAATAATTGGGGCATTAGTGCATCAGTGTTTGTGGTGTTGCGCGCAAGCGTTAAGCTCCGGTTATGGTTTGTTTTTTTGCATTTGCGGTTCTAGGGTCATGTACTCCCATTCCTCAAGCAGTCTTCCTAACCCTAAACACTGAACTACTACTATAAGGATCCTGAGCCAAGACCGACTGATGATGTATTTGGGCCACGGGTCTGAAGTTCCAAATCCTCAAAGCACTTAAAAACCCCACAACTCTGATGATAGAACCCCTGTATAGCCATATTATGGAGGCCCGCAAGGCCTTGAAGTAATCGCGAGAAGAGCCCGTTTAAGAGCTCTCAAAACGAGTCCTGCAAGGAAACCTGCAATAATTGATCCACTTGTGCTTTTGCTGAGTTTGCGGATGCCTGCTTCTGCTTTCTTGCTTGACTGAGGAGATGCCCCCGGCAGCGATTGCTGCCCCCCAGGTAGAGGAGCGGATTGCGGATTGGGGCTTTGGAGTGTTTTGGAGTTCAGGTTTTAGGGAGGGCGTTCAGCGTTTTGTAGGTGTAGATTTTGGGGCTTTGGGGGTTTCGCTAATTAGTTCAATGATGGAGTCCTTGTCTTCACTGGGAGGCAGTCAGGTAGTCACTGCTTCAGTCATTTGGTGAGGCTTCTATCGAGTTCCAGGATGCTAGGCTGTGGTTTCTGAGCCCCAAAGCCTACATACGATACTTATGACCTCGGATCTATATGGGGGAGTACCGAAGCTTAAACTATATAGTCGTTCGCAATTGCCACAAGCAGGGTCCAACCGTTGATGTGATGCAGTAATCCAATACTTGGAGGGTCAGGGGACTTCGTAAGTAGCTATTATATAGGTTTATAAGTACCTTAATCGGTACCGGCTATTATGGTACTTCTAGCTCTATAAGATAGCTTCTTACTCAGTCCACTGACCCTCCCTGTCTGAGACACAATCCATGTCTTCAGCTCTGTCGCCTGCTTGGGTTCGACTTCTGCCGCTGTAGTGTCCAGGTTCCTGAGTGGTACTTTTGATCATATAAATCCTGCACTACCTTAAGGACCCTAAACTATGGGAATTATGGTACATTCCTTATATTATGGGTGATGCAGGATTTATATCATCAACCGTACCCTTTTGCCCTTTTTGTCTTAGGGGCCCCTTGTTGAAGCCAAAGAGTGGGAAGAAGGGTAGCCTTAGCCTTATATATCATAAAGGGGCTACTCAGGAACCTACCTAGAGGATCATACCCTAGCCGTTTTTTAGGATACCTAGTTTTATGGTTAGGATCTGTTATCTTTAAAAGTACGCGCCCTAAAAAAGGGGTAGGGTATGAGCCTCTAGGTAGTGTTGCCTCCACAAGAGCTCTGTAGCCCAGAGAGTCCCGTTGATAGTCTGTCTTCCTTAAGTCAGAGGGTCCATACACACTGCCAGTATGGAATTACAGGTACCAAAAGACCATCCCTATATGGTTTTGGGGGCCTATACTTCCATATGGACCCTCTGGGTAAATAACCCTAAACCCTAAACCATAATGGTAGTGTATATGGACCCTCTGGGTACGTCCGAGTAAGGATCGAATTCCTGAGTAGGTCACGATTGCTTCCGCACTGGAGGGCCTTTGTACCCTAATCCCTGAACCTAGACCCAGAAACTTCTTGGTCTCATTTGGGAAGTTGACCCTGCACACCTTAAGCTTTTTGGGGGTTATTTAATCCTACTATAACTCAAGAGGCTTACCTTTTGTGGGCTAGGGTACTCAGCCCCCAAGAAACAGGACAAGCCGCCAGCGAAAGCCGCGGCACCAGTTGCAAAAGCGCCCGCTGTGGCGGCTCCGAAACCAAAGCTGTCATTTCGCGCCATCGCCGCAGCACTTTCGGGCGATTCCGCGAAGGCACGAGGGAGAAATGTTTGTTCAGAGCAATCGGACCTCAGGACTCATGGACCCTTGAGGCCTAAACTTTAGGCCAAACCCCGGCTTCAGCTTTTAGGCTTTAGTTCATGGTGTGGCTATATAAATCTTGTTGATCTCGAATTTCGTTCTTCACGCCACTGCAACAATGAAAGGGCTTATGCCGTTGAGGCGCCAACCATGAAGCGAGAGCGCTCTTCAGTCTTTTTGCTAGATCAAGCACGTCTGACTTCAGCTACCGCCAGTTGCCTATACATGCGTTGTGACAGTCTTACAGAATGCAACAATTTGGCGATTGCCTACGGTCCTGTGCAAGAGCCGAACATGACTCAAGTGGTCACACATATCATGCGACATCAGTTCAACGGGAATGCCAGATATCAGCACTCCTCCTTGACACCACCGTAAGGGCAGTGTCACACTTTGCCACAAATTTGTTATGGCATTCCGGCTTTCTTATCCCCGATTATATAGACTACGTCCTGCATTTTCTGTACAGCAACGACAAAGCTGTACTGTATGAGCTCGACCGGTGTTGCGCAAGCCCCAACATCCTTGATACAGGTGAAGTGTATCTCTGCCAGGCACTTGGTAGAATGGGCCAGCATACATCTCAACCCGAACAGGAGGTACTGGAACTGGTTCAACCCGCTGGAACGCTGGTGTTGCTTGAACTCCTTGGTCCCTTGTAGCTGGTTGTTTATTACGACCAGTAGAGGATGAAGACGCAAGCACATCTGGAGGAAGCGTAGGCACTGGTGAAGTCCCGGATGGCATAGTGGATTCAAACCGTGTCCTCAATTCAACGAGTCTGACTCGCTGATCTCTGGTAAGATCTTCTGGATCGAGGGCTAATATCCTCTGTAGCTCCTTGAGCTCTGTCTTGGTCAACTTCTGTGGAGAAGCCTTGTTTGCTTTCGCTCTCAGCGCTCGGAGCTGAGCCTCTTTGCGTTTCCAGCAAAACTTAAAGCCTTCCCACAAGCCAATGACAGCGATTGCAAGCACCGCAACAACCAAGTAGAGATCCCAAGCAATCCCAGTTTCAATGCTTTCCGAAGCTGCCACCGTTCCACAAACCTGACAGAACATAAGCAACTTCGATAGCCATCCTTGTTGTCCGGCGCCTTCTGTAGAAGCCCTTCTTATCGAAGAATCACGAGGAGGACGTCTGTCTGCCAAGCCCCACAAATCAACCAGCTTCTTCAATCTGTCCTTGGGAAGTGCCTTTGTCCCAATGTCCGCTCGTTGGGTTTCTCCTGGTTCATGCCGAAGAAAAAGCTCCCGACTTGTCACTCTCTCCCTGACCCAGTTTGATCGTAGTCTTAAGTGTCTGGTTCTCCAACTTGCAGAGCTTCCGCTTATGAGCGAAATAGCAGCTTGGTTGTCGATCCTGAGGTACATTGGCAACTCCTTACCCAGGAGCTCTTGTAGTAGACACTTTGTAGCCAACCCCAGCGTTGTTCCGTCCACAGCCTCAATCATTTCACTCTCAGCCGTGCTAAGAGTGATGAGCTGCTGCCTCGATGATCGCCAGGCTATAGGTGAGTCTCCCCAGAAAACCGCAGCACATCCATGCGATCTTCCCGATGAGGTAGCGAATGATGAATCAGTGAAAATATCCAACCTCTGCTCGCTGTCATCGATCTTTACGAACTTCAAGCGGTAGTACTGTGTCTCGTACAAGTAGTCGAGCAAACGGTTCCCCAACTCATTCACAATCTCTGGAGCCCTTGTAATTCTTGAGGACATAATCGAAGTTATATACTGTAGATCCGGGCGCGAACGTCCAGTAAGCCAGAGAAGTTCTCCAACTCGCTTCTGTGCCTGCTTAACTTCTGCTTCACGTCCCTCTAGGTTCACAGGCTCTGCATTGAGGATTGCCTCTTCTTCTTCCGGCGTCAACACCATCAAATCTCTTGAACCTTGAGACCACGACCTCGACCCTTTGTGGTTATATGCTCTGAGTAGCTCGGTGATGAAGCCATGTTGCGCAACTTCGACTCCTCCTGGAACCTTATGGATTTCCAAACCCAAAAACCGAATGGGATTCTCCTCCTTCAGGATGTTTAGCTCGTCGCATTCCCATCTTGCTGAAACCCATGCAAAGAAGGAGTGGAGGATCTCTGAGGGTCCCGTAATCAAGAGGTCATCGATATACACCATCACATACCCAAGAGCCTTGTCTGGATCGTTCATATCAACAACTTTCCAAACTTGGTTGTCTGAAGCCAGCTGTTGAAGCCTGAGGCGCTTGATGTTCCCGTCAATCGTTGCCTCCCATTGTGCAGCCCGTAGCTCCTGATCTCGAAATCCAGACCATAGAGCTGGGGCCTCCCTGAGGCCGTATATTGACATCAGAACTTCCCACATGTCTCCAGGCTCTGCTAAGCCTAGCTCAAAGGCTATGTTTGGTGGTTGCAATGCAACCGAAGCCCCCAGCCAAGGAGCCAAGACGAAGGCCTGTCTTATGTCGTACCGGTGAGCCAGTTGGAACCTGCTGTGAACGCAAACATTGTCCGCAACGAAGTGGAATCCAGCCCGGCAGCAAACAGGTCAAAACCTTCTGGCATCATGCTTCCTTCAGGAACATGGTTTCCGCAAGCCACAAATCTAGTCTTCCTCTTGTAGTTGTTGGGTGAGGCATCTGGCTTGACTGTAAACACACCTTTGCAAGGCACAATTTTGCATCCTTCTGGAAGATTCCACCTCTTTGTAACTTTGAAGGCCTTCTTTTTATCCCTAAGGTTCGTGAACTCCTTCACTGCAGAATCATACCACTTGGAGATGTTCTTCTTCACGTCACCCAAACTAATTGTGTGAGTAACTTCCAAAGGCTTGCCGCTCACCTCCAAGTCATGTAGAATCTCTTCAATGTTGGGGGTGCACTGTACCTCGGTTTTCTTCATGGTCGTTCGCGGTAAAGCGCGTTCACGGGTCCTCGAGTTAAAGTCAAGGAAGTCCAACTCATCAACTTCAATAAAGGCCTGGATCATCTCAATGACTTCATTAACCTCAAAGCGCTTAATCATTGCCTCGCCATCCTCTTCATCTTCCGTGGGATCATTAGTGCTTGCACTGGCCTTGTCGATCACAAACCCGGCCTTTTGGAGCTCTTCATAATGCTCGTCCTGGAGCTTGGAAGTCCTTGGGGTATATAGCAACATCACAACCCGATCTCCATCCCATGGTTGAACTTCATGCCATTGACTGGGGGAGAACTCCACAAGCTTATTCTTTTCCAGGTTCAGCACACGTCCCAGCACCTGTTTCCCATTCGGAAGTTCCTTCTCGATTGCGACTGAAGGATCAGCATCACCGTCTTGAATCCACAGGTTCCCTCCCACAAACTCAGTCAACGGCAACACCATATTTGATGTCTCCCTCGAACTGTGGGAGTCACGATGGATTCCCAAGGTTGTGTTCCGAGTAATTCCCAAAGCGCTGAATGTTTTTTCACCACTGAACTTCTTCGCAAAGGTCGTGAGGAACTTTGTTGTCATTGGGTACTCCTTCAAATTGGAACGGACGCCTGCCTTGCCACCATGCACGAATGCCCCGGTGAACCATGTCGTCATAGAAGTCTTCTTTGACGCTCGGAAATCAACGTCTCCAAGCTCCTCAAGTAGGTTGTAGATCTCGACAACCTGCTCCGTAGTGTAGTTGTTCTCGGACATCGCTTTCCTGGAGACAAACTCAATTTCTTCCCGTAGTTGCCTTTTGGAAGGAGGCAGATCATAATCAAGTAGACCTTCAACTTCTCCTTGTACAGTAGCATGTGGAAGAAGATCTTGCAGGTCCCGTTCCGGTTCCACCAAATTGAACTTCACTCCCTTCGCAACCACAAGTCCTCCATCTTCACGTTGAATTAGATGGCCTCGGCTGACTTCCCTTGATGGGCCACGGTAGAGCCCCTTTTTCCATCGAACGCCGTCGGGGTCATACTTCTTCTCCTTCTTCCCTTTGTAGGCCTTTGCCCGAAACCACACTTCTGTGCCAAAAGCAACTGCTGGAGGGTTTGTCCATGAGCTTGACGGAAAAGCTTTTGACCACAGGCTACTCGCTGCGTGATCCATTGCCATAGGCCAATCTTCTGGTGGTGCACCTGCGCTTCGAAGTAGACTTCGCACACGAGCCTTCGCCCACTTCACACCCAGCTCCGCCGTGCTGTTCCCTGCCGGGTCGCCTCCAGCTGTTTTCGTATGCCTGAGCTTCTCGTCGTTGACCCAGGTTTTGAACATTTTTGTCCTAAACTCCCTGGCTCTGTCTGTGTGTACATGAGCAACATGCAAACCAGTTTGTCGTAGCTGTAGAAGGATTTCTTTAGCCGCTTGTAGTACCGCAGGTCCAGTTCTCCTCCTCAAACAGCGCGTCACATAGATCGTGGCGTAATCCACTTTCTTAGTGAGCTCTTCGACCTCACTTTCCAATTTTTCGGCCTCCTCGGTTGACGACTCCTCGCCCTCCAGGTCCTTCTCATCATCTTCCCCCAACACCAAAAGATCTTCACCTTCAGGGACTTCCTCGTCTTCAGAAGGAACATATAGCTCACGCTCAAGCTCTGTCAAAGCCATGGAACTCAAGTACTGACGAGGGCAGCGATAAGCAGCAACCATAATGTACTTGTAGTCATCGAAGTCCATGTCACGTCCTTTCTTTTTGAAAGGTCCAGCCAGGTCCATTGCCACCGCGTACATCCCTGGAAACTTCCTCCGCTTGTGCTGGTAACCAGTGGCCTGTGCATTAACACATACCGAGCAATCAGGTCGATAAGGTTGGTGATCGTTGTGGATGTGGTCCCTCTATTCCCGTCGTTGTTCTCGGGTTAGTTTTTTAAGGCTGGCTTCCTCATCCTTGATCTCCTCCTCAGACATGGCAGCCTCATCATAGCAGCCCAGGATGTTCTGCGCGAGGATTTCCTTGAACTCCCTTGACCATTTGATCATTTCATCGTACTTCAAGAGTGATGACGGCACACATATACTTGAAAAGTCCCAGTTGTTGTTCATATGGAGCATCCCCGGGTAGTTCGTAGCTGCGGTAGTTGGCCTCTTTGCCTTGTGTCCGTAGGCTCCCATGTAGAAGTCGATCCTTTTCATTCCGCTGACAGACTTGAAGGATTTCCACATCTCAGTTGACCAAAAGGATGCTTGCACCGGTTGGTCCGCCCTCAACTTCTCAGGATCCTGGGACATGTCCATGAAGAACCCAACTTCCCCGCGTCCTTTCGCTGAAGCAATCATCCACACAACCAGCTGTTTGGCAATGCTAGCGGTTTCTTGATCAACTCGATGTTGCTGTAGAGGTTGGAGGGGTTGTTGTCCATAGGGTGACGTTGTAGTCCTCATCGGATAGGATCCAGGTCCTCGGGTCGGCGCCATTGATGTGGGCCACGTAGTGTGTGGGGGCGTACCAATTACATCTGTGATCTTCCCTTGTGCCGCTGCCCATAGCAACATTCGATAAGCTCCTTCTTTGCGGTGCAAGTCCCATTGCTTTGAAGCCTTTGCGTCAATCTCAAGAACCATCTTTCCACCTCTGGAGATCACATTGAAAGGCCCTTTTTCTCCATCACCGTCTCCAGCATGAAGGTGAATAACCCACGAACTCGACCTCATCAACGCACGCCTCCTCCTCTTTGACAATGGGAGGTCCTTTAGGTATCGTTCACCGCCGTCCGGATCAAAGCCTTCGGCAAGCATTGCATGCACCTCACTTGGGAGATCCTTTGTCACAGGACATAGAAGAAGGGCTCGCAAAATAGTGGCCTGGCATCCAGTCTTCACATAATCCTTCATCAACTCATCCCACGTCCTCTTCTCTTCTTTTCGAAGCACTTCAAGTCTCGCAGTCAAAGAGTTCACCTGCGAGCTGAGCTGGGCCAAGTGTTTCTTCTCCAACTCTGTTATGAGTTTGTGGGCTTCCTTGAAGTTCACTTCAGGACAGTTGTTGTTGAGGTAGATTTTGATGAAGCCCTTCGTCGGATGCCTGAGCTTTAGCCTTCCTCGATTCCATTGCAGGCTGCAACCAAGGTCCTCAATCAGCGCTCCCATTGGCACAATTGGTTGGATGCGTTCGTTGCCGTCGTTGGTGACCAGAACAGTGCCGCAAACATTCTGACGTAGGACTCTGGTATCTTCGCCCGCAAGCGTAACTTTCACTGGGACTCCCTTATCGTACTCCTCCTGGGTTGCCTGCTTAAGGGCATGGCTTGCGCCACTGTCCAAAATTCCTCGGGGTCCTTCATCTTCGCCTTCACTTTGTTCCTCCACCTCAGACTCCTCAGACTGAGAACTCCGTGTAGTTCCCGAACCGGTAGCCATTGTTGAGCCCGCGGGTTCAGGACCGTTGCCTTCCTCAGCAGCTGTGAGGCTCCTTATGCTAGCACCATGGGTACTTTCCATATCCTTCACGGTGAACTTTCGCAAAGAAGACGCTGTCATCACCTTCAGCATTTTTCCAACGTCTGCCAAGACTTCCTTTAGGTCCGGGACCGTCTCGTGAGTGGTCGATGTAGAGGACGAAGGAGCTTCTTGAACCTGGGCCCGTTCATCAATTCGGACGGTCTTCGTTGAGGTCGACGGTGGGGTTGTTGTTGGAGGCGGTGCCTTGCTCGGAGCTGCCTTGGGTGTACCCGCCGGTGTCGCAGAAGAGGTAGAGGAGGGCGTGCTCGGCTTCTTTGTCGGGCACTCCTTAGCCATATGCTTGCCTCCACAAAGGTGGCAACGCACAGCCTTCTCTTTCTCATTGCCTTCCCAAGAGTGTTTGAATGGGCACTTAGTTCCACGGGCGCAACCCTTGAAGGACTTCCCGAAGTAGCGACAAGGAACCTGGCCCCTTTTGTCCACTTCTTCTTCACCGCCCTGACCGCCTGTAGTAGTCCTTGACGTCGAAGGAGGTGCAGGTGGTGGCTGTGGTGGCCCTCCTTTTGGCTCCGGCTTCATTGGCTTGATCTTCGGATCCGGCTTGTTTGGAGTGCTTGTGCTCGTAGTACCTGAAGTCTGGGAGCTCACAGCCATGGCTTCACATTCGGCCAAAAGGTGGTGGTAGTACTGATCCACTGAGTCGTAGGACGGCTTCGTATCCACCAGCAAGTTGCTTCGAACCAGGCTTGTACGAAAGCTTACTTCTTGGTCTCGCTCAAGCACTGACCGGGTCATACTCGTCAGTCCTCTTGCCAGGAGACTCGGATCTGGAGCCGAGACCCCAAGGTCTCGGCATCGACGAAGCCACCTCGCCCAAGCCCTCAGCGCCGCCACTGCCTGGTGAGGATCTTTTTCCTCTCCCGGTTGTTGAAGATTCTGGAGTATAGTGACTTTCTCCTGCTGCCCTCCCGGTTGGTAGATCGTAAGGAGACGGAATAGCAGCGCAGTAGCCGAGCCGGTGGAACGTCTTGAAACCATCTCTTGACGAACTGAATCGTGAAGGGCAAGTAGAATCATCGAGGACGCCCTCGAGTTAACCCTGCTCCAACGCCCCGTCTCTAGCTCCGCGACTTGTGGTGGCATAATCCTCAGCTTCTCAATGGGACTCGCATTTGTCCAAAGCTGGTACGCCTTAGACGCTTCCTTCTTCACCAGGGTCCACCATTCACCCGAGCCGTCACTCAAGTCAGACATTGGAGCTGCAATCAACTCCAGCCAGTCCATAACGTCCACAGAAGCCGTAGAGGACGAAACTTGGGGAAGTAGTGGAAGTGTTGACACTCCAGGTTTCACTGTCTCCGGACTCTTTTCACCTGAACGGTCTTTTTCGTTGGACAACTGCTGAAGCATAACCGCCTGCAGCTGCGCCATCCCTCCAGCCAGCAACGCCATTGGATCCGGTTTCTGGTCTCCACCAAGCCACTGCTGTGCCGTTGGCTGCTTGGTAGGGTCTGGTTCACGTCCATCATTGGCACCAGAGCTATTCTGAGGAGCACCTACTCCACCGCAGCCAGATCGCTCGTATTGAACATTCGTGTACTCGGTAGACTGTGCCTCAAAACCACTCTTTACGAACCCACTTGCCGCCTTTGGAAACTGCGCATAGCTTGGAAGTCCTGACCCAGAGTCACCGCGGGACTGAGCATGAAGATCACCATGAAGCTGTGTAGGAGGATCACCTGGAAGCTGTTGAGAAGGATCACCTGGAAGCTGTGTAGAAGGATCACCTGGAAGCTGTTGAGAAGGATCACCTGGAAGCTGTTGCCGTGGATCACCTGGAAGCTGTTGCCGTGGATCACCTGGAAGCTGTTGAGAAGGATCACCTGGAAGCTGTTGCCGTGGATCACCTGGAAGCTGTTGCCGTGGATCACCTGGAAGCTGTTGAGAAGGATCACTTGGAAGCTGTTGAGAAGGATCACTTGGAAGCTGTTGAGAAGGATCACTTGGAAGCTGTTGACGCGGATCACCTTGAAGCTGGGCTTGCGATTCAAGCAAGCTTCGCGCCCTCATTTCCCATTGCAAACGCTCATTTCTCAAGTACTCGACTTCCAAAGCCATTTTTCTCATCTCCTCTCTGTGCTTAGCATTGTACTCTTCCAGTTGACGTTGTACTTCAGCTTGCAAACGCGACGAATGTTCACTACCACCTTCTGAGGCCTGTCCATAGATGTGGGGGTAGTCACTCTGAGCTTGTCGCATTCGTTCCAGTTGAGCTGGGCCAAAAAGAGGAGGTTCTGCCGGTTGCGGAACTTCCCATGACCTCGGTAACGGCTGTATCGGTCTACTTGGTGGAGGAGGTGGAGGAAGCTCTTCGGGAGGCGAATATACTACCATAGCAGCTTGCGTAGCCGTAGTTTGCGACATAGGACCGACTCTTCTCACATGCGTGGGGTCTGAGTTATACTGTGGGATTCCCAGCCCATCCAGAACTCGGTCTACGCCACTTGCTCCGCGATCCGCTGCAGTCCGAAGAAACTCCGTGAACCGAGCCATCCACCTTACACCATGTTGCTCGCTTGTAGTAGCTCTCGATTGTGCCGTATAGTACTCCTGGACTCTCACCGCTGAGCTCATCGGGGTAGTAGGCGTTTCGCTCTGTCCTCTCGTAGGCATGGCAACTTCAGTCCTTCCAGCACTGTTTGTTATAACGTTCGCGCTCCGATGCGGTTCATCATATCGAGGTTCCATTTGCAAAGGAGGTTCCCGTGGGGCTGGAGTCGCTGAAGGTACTTCTGCTGAAGGCTCATGAGGAGGGGCCGGGTCATGTAGGTTGGGATTTTCCATCCTCTGGACCTCTGAGGTCTTTCACTTGCAGTCACACCATTCGGAAGTCCTGACGAGCTTGCCGCTTCTCCCGAGCTAGTCGGCTGTGTTGCGGAGCTTAACCGCTCTGTACTTTGGGCGACCATAACCTATAAATCTTGTTGATCTCGAATTTCGTTCTTCACGCCACTGCAACAATGAACGGGCTTATGCCGTTGAGGCGCCAACCATGAAGCGAGAGCGCTCTTCAGTCTTTTTGCTAGATCAAGCACGTCTGACTTCAGCTACCGCCAGTTGCCTATACATGCGTTGTGACAGTCTTACAGAATGCAACAATTTGGCGATTGCCTACGGTCCTGTGCAAGAGCCGAACATGACTCAAGTGGTCACACATATCATGCGACATCAGTTCAACGGGAATGCCAGATATCAGCAGGCTAATATCCGCTCGAGCTCCAGGGTTTATGGCGGTAGGCTTTGGTTGATGCTTTATGAGCAATGAGCCTTGCCGATTAGTTTCGTCGACGTTTGACCAGCGTTGCGCGACTGTTTCAGCATTTATTCATACTGTTTGAGCCAAAGCCCTGAGTTCTAGTTTTTGTATACTCTGAACCACTAAGACCTAAACCCAAAGCTTTAAAACCCAAGCCGAGGCTCCAAATTAGATCCAACCGACCGGGGGCCTGTAAGCCTCGACTTGACCCAAGCCCCATTCGCCCTCTCGCAGAACCCGGGTTCTTGTTAAGGGATTTAACTTACGTAAGGTACCATAATGAGTAAACCATACTAGTTACTTTTAAATCCCTATTGTGGCAGATTAGATTTAATCCTTCAACAAGAGCCTGTAGATCCCCTTAATTATAGATCCCTTAAAGGAACCCATATAAGATCCCTTTTTCAAGTGCTCGGAATCCCGCACTCCGAAGTGAGGCTGCCGCTCCCGCAGCAGCCCAGCTGCCTGGCCAAGAGGCCTTTTCCACCCAGCAACCCCCAAAACCCTAAATCCTGCAATTACACTAATGACCCGAGACTATGGGAATTATGGTATATTCCTGATTATACGTGATTAATGGAGGATATAAGTCCTAAACCTCTGGGATTCTTGAAAGGCTTTCCTTGCAGGGTGTCTACAAGGTTTACTATCATAGGGTGGTTTTAGATTGTTCACTGATTAATTAATCGATTTTCAGGACTACGTTTAAAGGAGTTCCTCCCAGGAAGTAGGGATAAAGCTCCCAGATGTCGAAGAGAGTATCCGCGGCTCTCTTGCAATAGTGGTGAAGGTTTCCTTCACCAGACCATAAAGAAACATGTCGCTTCCACACAAAAACTTGCACCTTGCACTCTTCAGTGGTTCCCCTTTCTAGCCAGCCAACTTGATGGTTGAGACCGTTACTACTAAGGATAGCGGGCAAGTGAAAAACGAATCACAATGGCGGGTGTTTGTGGCCACTGTGTTTAATACGGCCTATAATGCTAGTTACCCTACTTACAAGCGCACTTACAACTAAAGCCTATAAGCCCTAAACCCTGAAACCTATAGTTATAGGATCAATGCACCTCAACACAGGGTCTTTTCTTCGTGGACGCGGCCGGCGAGGCCAGCGCCAAGGCCGCCGAGCTCTGGGGATTTCTCAAACCATCAGGGTCCATGTCCCCAAATACGGCTGATGATATAAATCCTGCATTTTACCCATAAATCCGGAATGTGCCAGTACCATTATTCCCATAATTGAGGATCCTTAAGGTAATGCAGGATTTATATCATCAACCGTAGTATATACCATTGCCTTAAAGTAGTTCCTATATTATAGATACTTTGGCGGGCCTAAGGTACATACTGTTTGGGTACATGGAATTTTGGGGAAAGTGCAGAAGGGTTCTTGGAGGATCAGCAGGCTTCGTAAGCAAGTTGAGTAAGGTTACAAGCACTATCATGGGCAATAGACCCTAAATCCTAAACCCTTGACCCATCTTGACCCTAAATCCTAAACCGTGGCCCTACTACGTCCCCCGATCCTGCGAAGTGGGCTTCAGAAGTTTCCAGGGTTAGGGCATCTTCTTCAGCACTGATTTGGATTCCAGGGTGGGTGTTGGGGTTTTGATCCTGTTCGGAGTTTTCAATGTTGGCGTGTGCATATTTGCACACACCTATTTATCACGTCTTCATTTTATGCATGAATATATTTATTTGTACACTGCGTTGCGCATTCGGCCACAGATGAGTTCCTGTACAAATGCTAGAGCCCACCCGGGTGCAATCATAGTCGACTTCAGGCTAATTACATGCTTTGGTCCGGACTTTCGCTCTGCGAATTCGGGGTCTAGGGTCAGTCGGGTTGAGGTCTACGAAGCCCCAACATCCCCATGTCTAAATCGACTATGTCTGTGCATTCGGAGAGGTTGAGGTTTAAGCTTGATGTTTACTGGCTCTGCGTTCAGGGTTTGCGGTTGACTAGCTGCCTAGATTCCGAAGACTCCACACATCCATCAAGTCCTGGAGCCCGAATCCCTCAGCCCACCATGTAAAGACTTTAAACTGGGCTTTGCAGTACAATACTTCGACATTTTTGTGATCCAGTGTTTAAAGCGGACCATCATGAAATAAAAGTCTAGATTTTTTTCTCCTTGGTTGCTTCAAAGCCCAGGAAACTTAACGAGCAAGAAGGAACTCTGAGCCTTACCTCGTAAGCTTCGGCAGCCCGGTTCAACTTCACGCGTGAATCTTAGGGCTAAACCTTAACCCCAATAATTAAATGAAAGGGTTCAAAGACCGAAACCACCCCCGAAATCAAGCTTGTCTGCAGGAAGCCCTCGGCCCGAATCCTCAAACCCTAACCCTGAATCTCCGACCATAAGCGCCTAAAACGAAACTCCAAAAACCTCAAGCCCCAAACCTTATAAACCTAACACTAACCCTAAAACCCAGAGCCCGAAACCGACGCCATTGGCGAGGAGGCAGCGCAGCAAGCTCCTCCAGAGGCGCGTCCCATCTGCCGTTCTTAGGCTTAGGGGTTTATGGCCTTCGGCTTTGGGGATGGTGGCTGTAGGGTTGAGGGCTTCCTTCCCACTGAGAGGGCCGGTCCGACTCAACTCAAACTCGAGATGCCGAATGCTGCTGGCACAACTGATTTTAGTAGAAGAATATTAAGAACAAAGAGCTGAAAGACGGGGCTTTGAGAGATTGTGAGCCCGTGCTTGCGCAAGAGGCCGTGTTTGTTACACCCTGACTGTGACCCTGACTGACAGGCCCCGAAGCAGAAATCCCTGCGACAGTGCTGAGTTCTGTTTGAGACTCCAAGTTAGTCCCAGTGTCATAGGACGATGCGCACTCCATTGACATAGCCGCTGATTGCTCAGGCCGGCACAGAAAAAAGCTCTCCACCAGCTGAGATTCCGAAGGCTCGTGGGGAGCTAGAGTTTCAGAGTTTCGGGGTTTGGGATTCAGGGCGTTGGGTTTCATTTTTTCTATTCATTCTTTTATGACTGATTATGCGCATGCATGTTCCCATATGCTCCGATATAGGTTCAAATCAATCGATCTATTGATTTTTATGTCTTTTCAATCTTCTATTGAAAACAGACTTTTCGAGCTGAAAATCAATATC